TATGACCAACAGTGTACATAATATAGATTTGACTCATTTTCCTATTATAAGTGCAGAGAACCATCGATAGATTGGCTGGTGCGTGTGTGGGAGGGAGGTGGACGAGCGTCACCCTCCCGACTCTATCACAAATTTCTGTAGGGCTGGCGTGTTTTCTTTTCATTCTTCAAATTATTACTTTTTATCTAGGACTTGTGAGAATACAGATTCCCAAAATTGATGATGACATTTTGAAATCGTCTTTGCTTGATAAAGCCGGTGACGCAGATTCAGCCGAGGACGCAGGTTCGAAACTGAGTCACCTCTTTCAGATGGTGACGTTAAAGGTCGATCCCCACTGATAAGACGTAAATAATAATAATAAATCATTTCAGATTGATACACGTCTGTTAAAACCCAATTACACACACACGCACACATAAATAATTGTCGGCTACCCCCCAACCCAAGTCGCAGATTTGAAATTATGCGAGACAAATATTGCCACGTATTGGGGCGTAATGAGCAAAAACGTTTTTTTTTTTTTTTTTTTTTTTTTTTTTTGGGGGGGGGGGGGGGGGTGAGACAAAAAAAAACACGCATCACCCAACTCTTACAAGCAGGCCCCGCTGAACGTTTTTCAAAGTTGGTGGGGGGGGGGGGGGGGGGAGGCTAAAATATTTACGATCAGGTAGAGCATAGCGTAAATTGGCGTGGGTCTAGGGGCAAAGCCACGGCAGGGGTTAAGAGGCGGAGCCCCCGGAAGCTCATGGGGTATGGGCATTTAAGTACGGTCAGATGAGCATATTTATAACCTTATTCATGACACTGGCAGGTCACTAATTGGCGTGTGGTCGAGAGGGCTGAACCCCCTGAAAATCAGGGATTTGAGGCATTTTATAATTGTCAGATAAGCATTCAGGGGCCTGTCTTAGGCCCTCTGGTGGGGCCGAGGGGCGGACCCCCCGGAAGCTCAGGGGTTTTAGACATTTAATGACAGTCAGATGAGCATCCATGGGGCAGAGCCATCGGAAGTTCAGGGATTTTAGGCGAGCCCCAAGAAGCTCAGGGTTTTTAAGCATTAAATTATCATCGATTGGGCATCCAGAGACCCGCCTTAGGACCCTAGGCGGCGTCCAGGGGGTAGAGCCACCGGAATTTCAGGGGTTTTAGGCATTTAATTACGGTCAGATGAGCATCCAGGGGCCCATCTTAGGGCCCTAGGTGAAATCTATAGGGGCAAAGAGGTTTCATGCATTTAAACACGGTCAGATGAGCATTTTTTGATACCTTATTTGTGACATTAGCAGGTCACTAATTGGCGTGGAGTTCAGGGGGTGGTTTTAGTCATTAAATGACCGTCAGATGAGCAACCAGGGGCCCATCTTAGGGCCCTAGGTGGAATCTATAGGTGCAAAGGGGTTTCATGCATTTAAACACGGTCAGATGAGCATTTTTTGATACCTTATTTGTGACATTGGCAGGTCACTAATTGGCGTGGAGTTCAGTGGGTTCAGGGAGCTTGAGCCCCACCTTTCTGTGCCTAGGCCTCTAAATAAGCATTTTTTTTTTTTTTTACCTGACTGTCAATTTAGGAATTTGACATTTTCCAACAAACGCATACAAAAGTATAATTTACTAAAAAGCGAGGAAAAATCTCGTAAAATTAAATTATGTTATTTCAGCAAGATTTGTAAATCACCGGTATCGAATTAGAAATAAACCACGTTTGAAATATATTTAGGGGGGCACTGCCTCCGCCCCAAGCCCCCCCCCCCCATCAGTATGCCAGTGCCCCCTGACCCCGATCTACATCTTTTTGGCGGGAAAAAAAATCGCAAATGATCGCCCCGACCTTTCTTCTTTATTTGCTTTCCCTTTCTTTCCTCTTTCCCTTCCATTTCTTTTCTCTCTTGTACATGTAAGTTTGCTCGGGGGGGGGGGGGGAGACAAGGACCTTTCGACCCCCCTCGATTCACACGTTGTTGGAGGGATAAATCGCAACTGATCTCCCTTTCTTTCTTCTTTCTCATTTTTCCTTCCCTTTATCTCCTCTTTCCATTTTTTTTCCTCTCTCTCTCTCTCTCTCTCTCTCTCTCTCTCTCTCTTTTATGGGGAAAAAGGGGGGGGGGGGGGTTGGGCAAAGTCCGCTCGGCCCCCTGGATCCGCGCATGACTTGAACGCATTAAGGTCCTGCACTGTCCCGTAGTATTGCGTACCAATAGCCCCTTAATTATACATGTACAATCTAAAAAGTTTATGAAACTTATCCTGACGTATAAAATTAATTTATATACATTTTTTTTTTTAATAAGGTGTTTTATTTCCTCAATACTAGAGGTGCTACATATTATCCAAATCATGCGATTTACATCATACTGACCTTACATAAAATACATGTATATCCCGATATTATGTTTTGTTTTGTGATCGAAAATGATAAAATTGATTCTTAAAGAGAATTATTGGAGATTATTGAATTATTTTCTCGTGTATTCTTTTGAGCGTACATTAACGGACGAAGTTGTAATAAAATATTAGAATGAATTACTACAACGTATGAAGGTATTGCAGTTTAACTTATTTTGTGAGTGGGGCTCATTTGGCCGCCATCATTTGCTTTGTGACCAGTAACATTTCCCCCTATATTAAAACACATGATTTGAAGAGGTAGACTTTGTGCTCAGAGAAAAATCAAAATATCTTACGAAAGCTTATGCACAACGTAAACATTGCTTCACTATTATAGTCTTGTATACAGTACTGACGATCTGGATTTTAGTAGCGGCGGATCTAGGATTTTGTAAATGGCTGCACTCATTTCCAAAATTCATAACAAGAAAAAAGGGGTGGGGTGGGATTCCGGACATCTGTGACCCCATGCCCCCTCCCCAAATCCGCCCCTTTTATAAATCTGGAATGGCTTGGAACATGGTGAAGATTAATAGAAGCATAATCACTTTTTGCATAACGAAGAACAAAATATACAGATACTTCATCCTGTAATGATCATGTAAATAAACATTCGAAATTGAAATAAAACCGTCTAAAGATTCAAGTAAACATGGAAATAAAATACGTAAATAAAAAGATAACGTTTACAAATGTAAACTTATTCAAATGAATTATAGAGAATTAGTCAATCTCATCTACTTGAAAATTATAAATTAGCTTGATAAAAAAAGCTGTCAACATTTCCAATTCACAATACTGGTAGTTAAACAAGGAGTTACACTAAGTAAAAAGGTTAACAATCACTACACCTGTATGATTATACCAACACCTACAATATAACAAACTCTGATGAGCGTGCCGTTCTATATAACACGGATTGTTCTGCCCATCGTAAAAGGGAAATCCAACTTTACTAGCAAAGCACTTTCAAAGAATGCAGAAAATCAAAAAAGGAGATTGATGAAAGAAACCGGGCAAACAATTAGAAAGTTATGAAATTTTTAAAGATGTAATCACGAAACATTATGGAAATGCCAAGTCGGTTAAATCGGTAATAGTGCCGGACAACTCCCCCAATTTCCAACCCTCTAAATGACTAGAATGTCAAATTTTCAAAATGTATTACTCTGGACCACCTTTCATTTTTGGAAGAAGACGCATAACAATATGCTTTCCATAATATATTTTGAGTAGTGCCGTAAAAGAGAAGGCGCTTGACATTTGTCTGTTTTATTTCCGAAAATCATCATAAAAACTCTAACACAATATAACAAAATCAAAGACTTATATAATAATAATAGAATGATAAAACGGTTGGAAAGTCTATTTCAGAACCATTAACCTAATGGCTCTGTTCTTCCATGGAGTCCCATGAAGGAGATAACTAGAAAGTATTTTTTTGATACAAGACAAACTGGAGAGTAATCATCTAGCCAACTTGGGATTCGCATAGATGTAAAGATCACATATTTCAAACATTCATAACTTTCTCATTTTTCGGTCAAATTAATTTCAAACTTTTTCCCTTCCGTTCTTCTAATTTTCTGCTTTCACAGAATGAATTTATAACAAAGGTTGGATTGCCTTTTAATGCTTCGTTCACATATGCAGTGGTAAACCGCGGCATGTTTTTTAAAACGATGGCGTAAGTGAAATACGCTCCACGTTTCTGTATCTTATATCACATAGCTCAATTTAGTTGAGTTTAGATTATTTTAGTTTAGTTTAGATTAGTTTAGTTTAGTTTAGATTAGTTTAATTTATTTTTATTGAAATGCAACGGTCCTTATGGGTTGTGAGAGTACAATATACAGAGATTTGAACTTAACACTTTTACATACACCAAACAGACTATGATAACGCACGAATTATTATTTTGAAAATATAAACTTTTAAAAAATGATTACAAAAGATATAAGGTCGGTTGGTTGTTTAAACCTGACTGCCAAGAGAGCATGTGCAGGCGCGGATCCAGGGGGGGGGGGGGGAGCGGGCCTTGGCCCCTCCTGGCCAAAAAAAAAGTAAAACAAAAATGATGACCAGAATTTTTTGTTGTTGTTGTTGTTGTTGCTCAAGGGGGCAAAAAAGAGGAAAAAATTAGAGCTCACCATCACTATCACCCCCTCCCCCCCCCCCCCCCCCCCCCCCCCCCACTGAACAAATTGTCGGCCGGCATGATTTTCAAACTTCAGCACACTAACTTTCAAATTCATTTCAAATTTAGGCCTCCCCCCTAAGAAATCCTGGATCCGCGCCTGAGCATGTGCATGCTTAAAAGTAAGCACCCATGAGACCGACGGCTTTAAGTCCTGAGCGAGGGACTTGGTAATGAGGATTATTACCTTACAAGAGGGCACTAGCGCATCGAATTGGTTTCACTGCTCTACCACTGAGCCATCGCGACTCACTTGTAATAAAATTAACAATAACAGTTATAAATTGATGGATCTTTGTTGCGCGCAGATGCCATTTATTTACACGTACAAAACTGGGACAGATTTTCGTTTTCGTTCTTTTTTTTTTTTCTTTTTTTTTCTCGGCTGTTTATCGCGTCATATCTGAACAAGCCTTAACAAGTGTTTAGACACAAGCTTCTAGTTCTGGATGGGTGGCGTTAGTGGGTGAACCTGGAACGCTTGGTAGATCAACATCATCTATTAAATGAAAAGAGAAAATAAACAAATATCCTGTTAAACAAAGTCGGGGAAAAAAACGTCCCCCTCAATTCCCCCGAAAAATTTGAAAATGTGCAAAAAGTGTATAGCAAATACTGACTAAAGACTGCAACAAACTTTTAGGCTCTAGAGGGCCCAAAGGTGCAGCGTTTAGACATACAATTGCAAAAATCTTCTCGTTCGGTAGCTACACTCCCTCGCATAATATCCTTCGAAGTGTTCAAGTAAATATTGTAGAAAAGTGAAGCGTGAAACAAAATATATTGCTTGTTTTTATACTAAAATTTTGCTAAGGAATGTGATTTTTTAAAACGACAAAACTTCAAAAACCTATGAGGGGGTAGTCACTTCCACCACCTTTACGCCTTTCGTTCACTTTGCTCCCTCGCACTGGCATATTAATGGGGGGGGGGGCCTGCTCGGGGACAGTTACCCCCTGATAAAATTTAAACGTGGTTTATTTCTAATTCGATACCAGTGATTTACAAATGCTGCAGAATTGGCATGTTTTTTTTTCTCACTAAACTTCCGGGGGCTCTACCCCCTGGACCCTACCAGGGCCCTAAGGCGGCCCCTGGATGCTCATCTGACCGTAATTAAATGCCTAAAAAATCCGAGATTCTGGGGGCTCTGCCCCCTGGACCCCAAAAAGGGTCATAAGGCAGCCCCTGGATGCTCATCTAAGCGCAATTAAATGCCTAAAAAATCCGAGATTCTGGGAGCTCTGCCCCCTGGACCCCACCAAGGGTCATAAGGAAGCCCCCTGGATGCTCATCTGACCGTAATTAAATGCCTAAAAAATCTGAGATTCTGGGGGCTCTGCCCCCTGGACCCCACCAAGGGTCATAAGGAAGCCCCCTGGATGCTCATCTGACCGTAATTAAATGCCTAAAAAATCTGAGATTCTGGGGGCTCTGCCCCCTGGACCCCACCAAGGGTCATAAGGCAGCCCCCTGGATGCTCATCTGAGCATTATTTAATGCCTAAAACCCTTAGATTATGGGGGCTACGCCCCTTTTATCCCACTCCAATTTGTGACCTGCATGCCAGTGTTACAAATAAGGTATCAAAATTTGCTCATCCGACCGTAATCAAATGCATAAAACCCTGAGCTTACAAGGGCTACGCCCTCCTGGACCATACCAGGGCCCTAAGGCGGGTTCCTGGGTGCTCATCTGACCGTTATTAAATGATCACCGAACATCCGAGGATTATTTCATAAATGTATCAGAAATGATCATAGATTATAGCACAATTTTGCATAAAGTTTAATTATCACTTTAAAAAAAAAAAGCCTTTTCCCCTGTTTTTCGGCGTACACTGTCACAGGTTTTACAAGAATACCACTTAGTTGGTCAAAGAACTCTTCATTAAGTACAGACTGTGGTCTCTTTATGACCCACAATTTTCTAACGTTACTTTAATGAGTTCCTAAAAATGGGTTCTAAAGAGACTGAATATATCTTGCACCACATAGTATACGAGGACACCACAGGTACTTTCTTTTCCAAACATAGTGTTTTTTCGGTATCACTGAGCAAATCTTGTAAGGTCCTAGATGAATGGGATACATTTATCTTTTCAGGATTACTTCTCAAAGTACATCGTCTTTTCGTATTTTGAAATATCTAGGGTTTCCATGCTTATGTCTATTAATAAGAGGCTCACCTTGATTATGCTACATGACCCCTTTTTCCTCTCTTTTTCCTTTTTAATTTTATTATTCTCCCTTTTCCTTCTTTCTAATTCTTATCCTTTTCTTTCTTCTTCTTTTTTTCCTTACATTTTTATCCCTTTTATTCTCTTCTTCCTTCTTTCTTCATGCTTTCCTTCGTTTGATCATTATTTCATCTCTCCTTCCTATTTTTGATGATTTTCTTTTTTTATGTCTTCTTTCATCTTCCTCAATAAATAGTTATCCTTCTTTCTTGTTTTTAATTTGACTAAATTATCTTTCTTTCAATGTTTAAATGTGAACAAAGAAGATTACCCCAATGGGGCCAACCCTGGAACAAAGAACAATTTATGTTTTCTGTTTGGTAGATTTTTCTGCTATTGAAATCAACTTAATATCAGGGTGGACTTCCCTTGTCCTATCCAAGAGACTTGGTAAAGAGGATTTGAACAGATACTCCCTGTTGGCCTCAAAATATGCAGCAACAACAATTCTGACAGAAAAAAAAGCAAATGGATTACTTACATATTGCATCAATGAATAACTAAATTAGCATGTATACTATGTCTAAAATGCAGTGTCTGTTACACCCTATATGAAAATGTACATAAGTTATTTTGGACAACCTATGATATGGAACAAGCTTTCCTAGCAATTTGATTTGTTTTTATATGTATACAGATGGGACTGAACTTTGGAATTTGTCTCTTTTACCAGTGTTTGGTGAGTGTGAATTGTTTTATTCTTCACAAATGGCCAAGAAATTCCAAAAAGAAGTGCAAAGATATTTGTGTATTAATGTAAATTATGCTGGAAAATGTTATTTCTGTAGCCTTGTGTAGTGTCTGTAACACTTACCACCCCCTGTTGTGTTGAAGAAGAAAAACATTTTGGTAAATTTTCTTGATCTGTAAAGCAGGGCTCCCACTTAGCCGAGTTGGAGCCTCGAGTTGTGGCGAGCTGGCGCGATCTTATGGCAAGCCGTTTTATTATTAATTGATATCAATAAATCAATTCTTGTTATCAAGAAAGAATTTTATGTTGTAAAGCAATGGTAATTCTTGATATCAAGAATTCGATTTCGTGATATCAGGATTTCGATTTCGTGATATCAAGAATTGAATTCTTGATATCAAGAAATATGTTTTAATGATAAAACGGCTTGCCATACGATCGCGCCAGCTCGCCATAACTCGAAGCTCCGACTCGTCTAAGTGGGAGCTCTACGCACTATCATGATACACGAGGAGTCAATTTAATAGATGGGGACACCATTATGACATTCCTCGCATTATTTCACAGGCAGGGGCGTACGCAGGGGGGGGGGGGGGGGGGGGGGGAGTTTGGGGTTTAAACCCCCCTTTGGTATTTTTATGTGTGTAAACCCCCCTAAAAAAACTGAAAACCCCCCCCCCCCCCCCTTTGGTTTTTTTTTTTTTTTTTTTTTTATTATAAAAAAATAAAAATAAATAAATAAATAAAATTATGCCCACGGCTAACCTAAGGTGACCTTACACCCCTCCCCCAACGAAGAAAAATGTCAAATTTTCAAATTTCGAGACCAAAAAAAGAAAAAAAAGTGTCCCCCCCCCCCCCCCCCCCCCCCCCCCCCCCCCCTGAGCGACTTTTCGGCCGGCGCGATTTTCAAATTTTCGGGAGCAAAATATTTTGGGCCCGATTTTAAACCCCCCCCCCCCCTTGAAAAAATCCTGCGTACGCCCCTGATCACAGGATTTTCCCTGAATTTCGAAAAAATGTACCTTGTCCTCCTCCTTCTTCAAGTTTATCCATCTGTTCTGCTTGTTCTACCAGTCCAACGTTCATCAGGATACCTCTAAATTTGGTATATGAATCGGTACTTCTTCCGTTCGCTTCTCTCCACCGAATCATACATGTGAATAGGGCGTCAGCGTACGATGCAGTAGGCCCAAGAAAGTACTGGGCTTTTATATTCACTAGTCGTGTGCCTAACTTGTTGTAGTTAGTCTTGCAGTCTATCTTTTCGACCAACTCGAATAGGAATGCATCCGGTTTACGCAAAAGGTTCGTGTTCCCATCCTCCAGTCGTTCTGAAAAAAAGAGAGGAATTTTTATGATAATTGAAAACATATAATGGCACTGAAATAAGGCACGGTTTTAGATTGAGCCCTGCATGAATCCGAATGCTTGCTTACAGATGCACTCTCTGTATTGTCTAACAATGATCTCCATCCAAAGAAAAAAAGTTCTGTTTTGTTCGCGCAGTTTGTTGTTTTTACCATGTAGTTAATATTTTGGTAATCATAATATTTTGTTCCGATAAATTTGAAAATGCAATACTATATTTGGACATCAATGCACATTACTGCTGTCAGTGGCTATCATATATTAAAGTAGAGACTCTCCCTCTCTCTATCTCTCTCTCTCTCCTTCTATTAACATTAATATAAAGAAAAACACGTGATCTGTTTCGGAACTTAGAAATTAGAGAAGAAGTCTAAATTAAATGAACTATTCCGTGATAGTAGTAGAAGTAAAAGTAGTAGTAGTAGTAATACAGTATTAGTAGGAGAAGTAGAAGTAGTAGTTGTTGTTGTGGACAGTATTTAGTCGTCATTTTGTATAAATTAGTTTGGCCGGTGGCTGCGTTTATCACTTCGGACAGAAATTCTTCTGTGAGTGGGAAGATTTACCCGGTGATTCCACCGATTATTATTTAGGTCAATTCTGTCGAAGCTCAATGTTGTAAATGTTAATTCATTTAAAATCCTGTAGTTAAGATGTTAATGAGTAGTATTATTATTCATTTGTGATAATTTGAGGTGTATTAGTAAACTGTATCTTGATGAAAAGGGTTATGAAATAGCTACATGGTTGGGCATTTCAAAATGGCTGCCCGCATGGGCATGTATAAACAAGTGGATAGAATCTTCGTTCGTCATGGCCGTACGCAACATAGAATCACCATTTTTTTTTCTTTCATAATATTACCCATTTTCCCAAGAACAATTTGATACCAATATCTCTTTATGACCATGGATAACGAAATGTTCAAGATAAATGTCCGTGCGCGCGAGCTCTTGTAATACATACATGTACAGTATAGCATATATGGGTAAAACATGCCTATACAAAATCCATTATAGCTCTTTAGGAAGCCGGGAGATCCCCCAATTTTTTTCATATTTGGATAGAGTATGAGTTGGAGATATGATATCATGTCTCATTTGGCCATTAAGTATATCATGACATCATCATTCATCGACAACTTGGGCAAGTTTTTCTTGGATAAAGTTCAGAAAATTCATAACGATATAGAATTAAAACTTAGCAATGTACATGTAGACAAACTGATCACTGATGACGTTCCAGTCGATTCGCAGATAGTAACGCTCACAAGTTTTAAATCACCGTCTGAGCAAGACGTTAGCAAATTGATAATGAAGCTCAGTAAGAAGTCCTGTCCATTGAACCCAATGCCCACAAAATGATTGCTGCAATGTCTCGATGTATTGATACCTGTTATTAATTCTATGTTGAACTTGTCTCTATCAGCAGGGCGATTTCCCGGATTGTGGAAGGTCGCTCTAGTGAAACCACTATTGAAGAGTCCGGGCCTCGAAACAGAATTGAGTAATCTAAGGCCCATTAGTAATCTTTAGTATATTTCTAAGTTAGTAGAAGGCGCTGCTACCCAACAAACTCTTGAGCACATTGAACATCACTCACTCTTGCCGTTTAATCAATCGGGATACCGAAAATGTCATAGTACTGAAACAGCACTCCTTAGAATCAAAAGTGATCTCCTTTCAATGGACAACCAGAAGATAAGTCTATTGCTTCTCCTTGATATGAGCAGTGCTTTTGACACGATAGATAATTCAGTCATGTCTACTGAAAACTCTAAGAAGCCATTTTTGGATTGATGGCAAGGTTATCGAATGGATTGAATCTTACTTGTCAGATAGAAAGCAGAAAATGACATTGATGACGTTGTCTCTGATGTATTCAATGTGCCTTTTGGTGTACCTCAAGGGTCGCGTTTAGGCCCTCTGTTGTTTGCATTATATACAAGCAGACTCCTTACAAATATCCATACGGAGATTCCTAGTATTAGTTGTCACTGCTACGCAGACGACACACAACTATACTTGTCTTTCTGTTCTAATTGTATTTCTGAATTAGAAACATGTGTTGTTTATGTTAGAATTTGGATGTTGCAAAACAAGTTGATGTTAAATGATAAAAAACGGAACTTTTGGTCAGTGGTACTCGATCCACGTCTGGTCTCTTAATCCAGGTCGCGTAGTGTATCAGTTGGCGACTCCACCATAACCCCATCTGATACTGTTAGAAACTTAGGTGTCTTATACCCACCTGAATTTGGATTCACATATTACTAAAATATGCAAATCAGCCTATTGCATGATTTATAATTTGAGACGCATTCGTAAATACTTTGATCAGGACAGCATAAAAACTATCATGCATGCATGTGTCACTAGTAAACTAGATTACTGTAATAGCTTATTCTATGGATTGCCAGACTCACAAATTTCCAAGTTGCAGCGGGTCCAAAATACATGTGCACGACTAATGTGCAGCCTCCCAAAATTCTCTCGAATAACCCCACTTCTAAAGGAACTACACTGGTTGCCAGTTCGCCAGAGAATTACATTACAAATATTAATGATAGTTTGCAAAGCTCTTAATGGTCAAACTCCTAGTTATGTTACTGAATTGTTGCACAAGTCTCAAACTCAAGGTCGTAACCTTCGTAGTATATGCACAAGACACATTTATGTTGCAAATATCCCCGGTAGACCGGTCATTTCTTTGTGCTGCCCCTAGATTATGGAATAGATTACCACTAGAAATAAGGAAAGCCCCATCATTAGATAATTTTAAATCACGACTGAAAAACTCACTTCTTCGTATAGTACGTATAGCACAGCATATACGAGCTCTTGCAGCGCAGTAGAATATCTCAACATGGCGCTTTTCAAATGAATATATTATTATTATTATTATTATCATAATGGTCTTGGAACTCAAAATACAAATTTGTATATTATGACGTCAGCATATTTATGAAAAATTACAAGATCGATTGTAACCATTTTTAATTTGACGACGTCATCAAAGTGAAAAATTCAATGAAAGGCGACATATCAGAATATTCTTAATTTGCCTGTTATGCCTAGGGGAGGTGACTTTTTCTGAAATCTTGATTCTACATTCCAGTCTTGTTCGAGCAATATCTCGTGATTTTTTTCCAGATTCGGATATGTTGTAGCTGAGAAAATCTTCTACACGGAAAGTGACATTTAATTTATAATCAAATGTTGGGATCGTGGTGAGATATTTTAACTACAAAATGTGATTTGAGAATCCGATTTTTCGTTAACGTGTAATGTCTATGTGGAGTACTATGGTATAGAGGTTATAGAACTTGCCTCCTGGTTTTCTACTGGTAAATCAACTGGTTTTTAACTGGTAAAGCAACTGGTAATCATCAACTGGTTTTCAACTGTATACGTTCTTTCCTCTCAGATCGACAACAGTGTGTGTTGTTTGAAGGGGTAAAATCGGATTGGAAACAAGTTCCTTCCCGTGTGCCACAGGATTCCGTTATTGGACCGATCTTGTTTAATTATTTTATAGCCGACTTACCTGACACTGTTTTATCCCCCTCCCACAATATGCTGTTTTGTATCGTGAAGTTTATACCGACAACGACTCTCATTTGTTGCAAACTAACTTGAATAATATACTTCTGTGGTGTATTGACAAGGGCATGGTCCTGAACTCATCTAAGTACAAAGTAATGCACATAACTAGATCCCGTAAATTAATTACTACTGTTTACTCCACTGACAGAAATCCTTTAGATATAGTTCAGTCGTATACATATCTAGGACTTACTTTTTCGCGAGATCTGTGTTGGAAAAACCATATTCAATGGGTTGTTAACAGATGTTCTATGCTCTGTGGGTTTATCCGACGTACCGTAAAATCTAGAAACTCACCCAATAAACAGAACACTAAAAAGTAACCTCTTTTGGGAGTGTATTTTAAGTGATTTTAAAGTATAGTGCCTTTTGAACTAGATTTAAACGTTATCGGCACGTGCCTCCATTTAAACAAAAAAGGTACTCCTGTTCACGTTTTCATCTAACCTAAAAACCACCAGTTTATCACGCGACTGGAGTAACGTGATTCCACTTACCTCTGTAAATCAAGTGTTTATGACCAAATAACCACTTGACCAACCAACGAGTTTTTTGTCAGTTAACCGATGGTGGCGATAAATACGTAATTATTTGGTCTTGTAAGCACCTTTATTGATTGGTTTCACAGGTTATCCAAAGTTGATGGTAATAATCACGTTACTTACACCGGCTAATCGTCTTATTGTTCTGTCCGTGAATCTCTGGTTATATTCAACTAGTAATTCTGAGGTGTCTTACACACCTCTTTAAAAGGTTTCAAAGTTACCATAAATGTTTTGGTTATGATCACGTGGCTCAAGCTGATTACTAATCTAAGCTGTGAAAACGTGATATGTAGGTGTGAAAATTAGTAATTATTATGTGTTTTAAAACACCTTTTTAAATGGTAGTCAAAGTTGCCATAAGTTCCGCGGTAATGATCTCGTGACTCAAACGGATTATTGATCTAAGCTGGTCATACGTGAATTTTAGGTGTGAAAAATAAGTCATTATTAGGTGTATTAAAACACCTATTTAAATGGTTTCAAAGTTACCATAACTTTCTTGGTGATGATCACGTAGTTAAAACTGATTACTAATCTAAGCTGTGAATCCGTGATATTTAGGTGTGCAAAAATTAGTAATTATTAGGTGTCTTAAAACACCTATTTAAATGGTAGTCAAAGTTGCCAGCAGTTCCGCGGTGATGATCTCGTGACTCAAACGGAATATTAATCTAAGCAGGGCATACGTGACTTTTAGGTGTGAAAAATTAGTCATTATTAGGTGTCTTAAAACACCTATTTAAATGGTAGTCAAAGTTGCCAGCAGTTCCGCGGTGATGATCGCGTGACTCAAACGGATTATTAATATAAGCTGGGTATTCCGTGTTTTCCATGTGTGAAAATGAGTTATTCTTGGGTGTCTTGATGGTTTCACAGTTACCATTTAAGTTCCGTGGTGATAATCCCGTGACTGTTGGCATATTTCTATGTTCACCAGTTGATAACTGACTGTTGGCATATTTTCATTGCACCAGTTGATAACTGGAGTGTGCATATTTCCAGTTGCACCAGTTGATGACTGAGCGTTGGCATATTTCGAGTTGACCCAGCTGACACCAATTCATTTGCATATTGAATATGGGGTGCGTGCAGATCTATGTTTTTTAAACAATTTATCTGAATTTACAGCGTATTTCTTAATTACTGATGATTTAGTTATTTACAATTCATTTCGAAAATACTACAAATATAAATTACCAGTTATTAGGACATTTCGCTACTTCGTATAAATTACATTTAGTTAAACATGAATAAGGGAAACCTTAACTGTGAACTAAAATAATTTCAATAAAGTACAAGTAGACGAAATTGTTTCGATTAATTTAATTTAAGTCTACTTATTACCAATGCACTTACATTGGAAATACAGACGTACCAGTATTGAAGTATTGTTGCTGTTCAACTGGTTGGAAGTTCTACCAAATGGTTCTAATGGCTCAGCTAGACCAGTTGAATTATAACTGGCCTGGATCAACTGGATCATTTAGCCCATTTCAATTTCCAGGGTTACCAGTTGGCATTAAATGGTTCATCAACTGGACCAGTTGCAAATAGCTTTCTTTTCTGGGATGTTAGCACCCATCACCCCCCCCCCCACCAACCCCCTCTAATCCCAAACTGCTTCCGGCGCGCCTGGACGTAATTATGGATGATCCATGACACGATGTTCAGAAACGGGATGAGAACGTCATTATTTTGGTTCATTTATTGTGTAACATTTGCGTAATTATTGGGTTGAACGCGGGTTACAGTAACATCCTTCCTCTTCGACGTAAATTTCACGTGAATGAAGAACATGATTCATCTCATGTCAGCCTCGTAATATTCACGTGAATTTCACGCAAATATTTTGACTAAAACTATCACTAACGCTTCACGTGTTTCTGTGACGCGATAATTTCGTGTATGAAGATGTAATTTCACAACTAAACAAACACGGGAGTATTAGGTTTACAAACCATGGTCTCCAAGGTAGGGATAATCACGTTATCATAATGGTGATATTGCAGTGACAATTGCGTGATTTAGTGTACGTGTGTTTTAAGTTACCTAATGCAATAAACGTATTAACACATTTACGTAAATGTCCGGTGTTTGAAGAACGTAACTCTCCTCAAGTCGATACCTTGATATTGACGTGATTTTCACGTGATTTTGTTTATTGGGTCAGCTATTCTCACAAAACTCTTTTGTTCATTATGTCGACCTGTGATTGAGTACGGCATACCAATATGGCTCCCTCATCAAAAGAACCATATCAGAGCTATCGAAGGTATTCAAAGGCGTTTTACACGATTCTGTTTCCCTTACGAAATTGTTGCTAAATCCTTATCATACACGGAACGCCTGTCTTGCCTTAACATGCCCCCTCTGTATAACAGACTTGTGCACCTATCAATGTCATTTGTAATTAAGAGCTTACACAGAATTTATGACATGGCTGAATATATGCTACCAGTCCCAAGTTATAGAGGAATCCATACACTTGTTTTCAATCATGAATTAGCAAGATGCAATAGCTTGAGATTTTCTTGTTTTTATGTTTTTCCCAGATTTTGGGAGCACCTCTCAGAGGAAGACAAATACTTGTGTCTTGGTAAATGGTACCAATGTCCTTCCTTTTCTGAATGTGCTTCGAAATTTCTTTTTTGAATTGTTTCCCCTTGTAGAAGCATACTAGCTTGCTTTCACACGTCTTTTTTCTCTATCATAGAATAACTCACACTTTGATATGTATTATTGATTTCTTAATGCGTATGTTATTATTATTAAGTTCGTATTTAATGTACGTTCTCTATCAATATATTCTATCACATTCTTCTTACTTTGATTACAATGTCTTTTAAATTTGTCTAGGAATCGATAATAATGTTCCTCAATGTTGATTAATTCCAATCATATCAATAATAATGCTCCACAAATTTGATAACTTCTAATCATATCAATAATAATTTTCCATAATTTGGATAACTTCAAATCAAATCAAATTAATAATGTTATACAGTTTTGCTAACTTCCAATATTACCGTATCCACATAACTCTATAAACAGACAGTTTTCTGCATTTAGCATGCATTTATCATACATGCATAGTTTGAACAGCTCTTCAATTTTTCAATCCTTTTTGATAATAATCCGAACAGTATTTGATCTACATGTATATTACCGTTAGTTTTAGTTACACATTCATTTATGAATTATGTTGACCTTATCTTTATATTTTGTTTTATGTATGCACCAGCCAGTGGCGGATCCAGGGGGGGGGGGCCGCGCCCCCTCCCCCCTGAGCAAAAAAACCCGTCTAAAAACACGTGAATTTGACCTCAAGGGGGGGGGGGGGGGGGTGCAAATTTTCTAATTTTCGAGGGCCAAAAAAAAAATGTGCTCACTACCCCCCCCCCCCCCCCCCTCCCACTGAGCGAATTTTTGGCCGGCGCGATTTTCAAATTTTTGGGAGCAAAAAAAAAAAAAAAAAAAAAAAAAATTGGGCCCCCTCCCCTAAGAAATCCTGGAGACGCGCCTGGCACCAGCCAATGTGGAGAGCCTCTAGACAGAATTGTTAAATTCTTTTAGGTGATCCTCAGGCATTGGCTGGTGCTAAATATCATTATGTTTATGTTACATGTATATTATTTGTCAACCTTGTGATGTTTTGTATGTTATCAGTCTTGCCTGAAAATAAAATAAATAAATAAATAAACTGGAAATATCAACTGGTTTAAACTGGTACCAGTTGAGACCAGTTGAGACCAGTTCAAACCAGTAGATACCATGCAGTTGGAAATCCTTACTGGTTTCAACTGGTATCAACTAGAGTTTTTTGTAATATATTTTGATAATTGATACGTGAAATAAATTAATCAATATATATGAGGAAGGAATAAGAGTAGAAATACTTTCCGAGTCGCGGGAGAGGGAAAGAAAACATGCAGAAGAAAAGTAAGATGGTAGAAAGGAATATTAGAGGTGCAAAAAATAACGTAGTAAAAAGGGAAATGAACAACACTTACCATTCATTAGATGGACCGCGGCAGCGTCTAGCCTAAACTCTTTAAAAATCCCAATCAATGTTTCCTCCCATCCCTTGCCATGTGCGTTACGCCATGCATACAAGCACTTATACATGGCATCTTCATAGTTAGGTACTGGTTTCCCCAACACGTTGGTAGCCTCCGCTTCGCTTTCTAAAAGAACGCGACCGAGGCGGGCATAGAAGGTGACTGCATCGATGCTTTCACTCACTTTGAGAATGAGTGTATCGTCGCTGAGTACTGTCGAGAGCGTTGGTGCCATGCTGGAAACAAGTATAAGTCCTATTTTTCTGGAAAGAAATGCATTATTGATAGTATTTATTGTAAACGAAGGACGAAAAATAATATAAAGGTAAGAAACTGGATCATTTGGTCAATCCTACAATGTAGGGCTGTCAAAACATGTATGAAGAAAAAAAAGGTGACGAGTGATTTTTACATGAAAACTTTAAAAATCTTCGCGCCGCCACTATAACATTAAATTCCATGACATCAGCTTCGATTTTTTTGATCATGAAAGTATTTTGGAGGTGGCCGCCATATTGTACCCTTGTCAGAAAAAACGAGGTTCGGGAATACCGGTATAAAGCAAGGGGTATGCTTTGCTTTGTTAGTCGTACGGAAACTCTACGATACTGAATGCATCTTATGCAAGAAATTACACATTTCGGGAATACATACAGGCAGATCTCTCACTGAGACCTAAGATAATAACTCTCATAACAATTTGACTTTATTGAACATTAAATTGCAATTTAAAAGACAGTGTCTGATTGACACTCACCTGTGAATCGGAGCAACAACGAGTGACATACCATGGACCTAACACAAATGATATACCAAAGATAGTGAAAAATATATTCATGTACTCAATGGTGGGAATCCCCACTCCGTTTCAATTTTATTTTTGTACGGAAACGCAGCCATTGAAATCTTGGCATGCATTCAAGTCATCAGAATAGAGTAGGTTTCATGTGACATCTCATTCGTTGAGCATCGGCTTCATGATCACTTGCAATAAAGGTTTGAATCTTAATTTGGTAACAAACATCGAACCGTTTTTAGTATGAGCGCGCAATGCACGTAGACTGCATAGAGATGCGTGCAATCTCTATGGGAAGGGTTTTATCACACAAAACCGAGGGCGCGATCAGACACCCTATTTAGAGGTAGGCCTACTATGCACCCAAAAAAAGGTTTAATTCCAACGGCATTTGAAAGATCGTACTAATTAAGAACTTTCTTCAAAACGAAAGGGCTTGAATTGTGTTCGACACTGTGACCTAGCCTAACGTTAGTCTTAGTATATATGCATCGAAGTTACAGTTCAAATCCAGGATATCCAGGATATGCAGATAGGAAACAACCTTTAGCCTACACCACTACACCACTTGTTTATAGATTCTACTTTTACGGTACGTATTCTTGATCATGTGAAATTTCAAACGAACGGTGTAGAGTCACTTTTTATTGAAGTAGTACGTAGTCGACAGAAAAATATAAGTTTAGGGGTTATTTATCGTAAACCATCTAGTAACTCGACTGATTTTACTGATGAATTTGATAGAGTTATGCAAACAATATGCACAAGTAATACAAGTAACTATGTTATGGGTGATTTTAATCTGAATTTATTGGAATGTGATAAGTTCTCAACTATAAGTGATTTTTTAGTTAGGATTGTATCCATTGATTAATAAACCAACCCGTATTTTTAATAATTCGGCTACACTGTTAGACAATATTTTCACCAATTCAATTAATCAAAATGCATTTGCAGGAATTTGTATTACTGATATAAGTGATCACTTTCCCTTTTTTCACATATCACCTGTTTGTAAGAATATTAAGTATGCCGAGTATAAATATTTTTTTCCGTGATATCACGGCTTCCTCTATTACATCTCTCATTACTGATCTAGGTAAGATAGACTGGTCAAATGTACTCTTATCAGATAATGTTGATGAGTCATATAATACATTTTTAGATTGTTTGATTTCAAATTGCGACCAAAAAATGCCTTTAAAAGAAAAACGTTCCAATTGTCGACGTATAATTAAAAAACCATGGATAACATTTGCTATTCTGAAATCTATAAGAAAGAAAAATATTCTGTATAAAAAGTATAAAAGTAATCCTTTATCTGAAAATGAAACGGAGTTAAAAAAATATCGTAATAAAATAAATTCTATGATTCGATCTTTAATGAAAAATTACTATTTTGATAAATTTAATGCTGTGAAATCTGATCTCAAGAAAACATGGACACTTGTCAACTCTATACTTGAAAAGAAAAAAACTGTAACACCTAAAATGCTTATCCATAATGATAAAATTATAGATGAACCAGCAGTAATTGCTAATGTTTTTAACAATTATTTTTCAACTGTAGGTAGTAATGTCTTAAAGTCTATTCCTGATTCGTGCAATAACTTATCTGATTTCTTACGGGGCGATTTTAGTCATAGTATTTATATCAAACCTGTCACTCAAGGAGAGGTTATAGTAATAGTTAAGAAAATATCCACTAGCCAAAGTTTTGGGTACGATGGTGTAAACGCAGTACTTCTTAAATCAGTTATCAAATATATTGTTTTACCATTAACACACATGTGTAATTTATCGATTCATACAGGGATTTTCCCCTCGAAAATGAAAATCGCAAGAGTTATACCTACATTTAAAAAAGGTGACATAAATGACTGCAATAATTATAAACCAATTTCAATTTTACCTTGTTTTTCTAAAATTCTCGAAAGAGTGATGTTTAATCGATTGTATAATTTCTTGATTCATAATAACATACTTAATTGCAATCAGTATGGTTTTCGTAAAAATTGCTCCACAGATTTTGCTGTCTTAGATGTATATGATAAAATCATTAAATATGTGGATGCCAATAAACATGCACTAGGTGTTTTCCTGGACTTTTCTAAGGGATTCGATACTTTATCTCATCATATTTTGTTATCTAAATTACAATTTTATGGAATTCGTGGCATAGCATATCAGTGGTTTAAATGTTATTTGACGAATAGGAAACAGTTTACATCTGTTGAATCTTTTCATTCAGATTACAATACTGTATCCTGTGGCGTGCCGCAAGGCTCGAATTTGGGGCCACTGCTTTTTCTAATCTATATTAATGATATTGCTAATTGCTCATCTTTTTGCCAGTTTGTTTTATTTGCCGACGATACCACACTTGTTGCATCTCATAACGATTTTAAAACTTTAGTTGATCTTTTGAATGAAAATTTGAAATATGTTTATGAATGGTTGATTTGCAATAAGTTATTTTTGAATGTATTGAAAACAAAATATTTGGTATTTAAGAACCGTCGTAATGTCAAATCTTGTTATGAAAATGTTTCACTATATATTAATGGTTTACGCATTGAGCATTATCGCGTTATAAATTATTTAGGCGTTTTATTTGACGAAAACCTTTCCTGGAATTCTTATATTGATTCAGTTACCAAAAAGATTTCCCGAAGTGTCGGTGTCATCGGTCATTTAAGATTTACTGTGCCACGTCGTATTTTATTTATGTTATATAATGCCTTTGTTTTGCCACACATAATGTCCTGCAATGCTGCATGGGCTTCTAAATATCAGTCTAAATTATTGAGAATACACAGGTTACAAAAACGTGCCTTACGTTTTTGTTCTCATTCTAATTACCGTGCCCCGTCACAACCCCTATTTAGAAGATTTCAAACCCTCGATATTTACGATATACACAAATTACAAACTTCTTTGATAATGCACCGGGTTTTTACCGGATGTTTTAAATGAAATGTTCTGTACGAATGCTACCATACACAATTACTATACAAGGAATGCCTCTATGTTTCCCCAGTGGAAAGTATCTTCCAGCACTGCTGCAGTTTCTTTACGCCATAATGGCCCCCAACGTTTGGAACACATTACCACATTCTTTACAATCTATTCAGTTCACCAAACCATTTAGACGTAACTTAAGCAGCACTTCTTGTCTTTGTAGAGTTATTCTTAAATGATATATTGTAAACGTTGTATCCCTTTACTCTTCTCCAGCTGACTGAGCTTTTTATTGTTAAATTACATTCTGACGCGCTCAGGGTGCGCCCATTCATCAAGCCCATGTGGCTTTTTACGGATGCACCTTTTTTCATCCTATACTCTTAGTAGATTTAATCATGTCTTCTTTTTCTTCTTCTTTAAAAAAACAAACAATGTATAGTGTCATTTTTACTGTGATTGGAAACAAATAAAGTTCAATTCAATTAAATTCACTTCTTTAATGCTCAAACTCCAATCAAGTGAGATCTTGCAGCACTTCAGTTCTGCTCTTTCAAAACGCGTGCAGGCTGCACTAGAATACACGAGTTTATAGTTGGAGATTGAGCATGCGCAGATAAAGGTCATTGCAGACCAAAATTGTAAGACAAAATACTGGATACGTGCTCATGAAAGTTATGTATCATTATTCGTTTATGCACAACCTGGATGCACAAGTGGCCATGGGTGTCAATCATGGGGGGGGGGGGGAGGGGAATTGCCCCCACTTTTCAAGTAACCCAATGTGCCCCTTTTTACATAGGAAAGTGCCCCTTTACATTTGTAAGAAGCGCACCTTTTTACATAGGAAAAGTGCCCCTTCCCTTTTAACCTCTGATGAGTGCCCTTTTTTATTTAGACCCATGCCCCTTTTTCTTCGACAAGTTCCCAATTTTCCTTTGCAATAAATGTCCATTTCCCAGAGAGGCGCGATAGCTCAGTTCGTAGAGCAGTGGTCTCGTAATCTGGTGACCCGGGTTCCCTTTTACTTTGACAACTGCCCCTTTTCCTCTGTACTAAAGTGCCCCTTCCCCTTTTAATAACTACCCCTTTTTAACTCGGATAAGCGCACCTTTTATTTTCTTATGATAAGTGCCCCCATAAAAAAGACTCTTCCCCTCCTCATAAAATCCGCTTTTCATCTCTGATATTAAAGTGCCCCGTTTATTTTAACATGTGCCTCTTTTTTATTATAAAGAAGAGCCACTTCCCCCTTCTAATGAAAGCCCCCTTTTTACCTCCGATAAATACCCCTATTAAAATCGGATCGGTACCCATTTTCTTTCAACAAATGCACATTTTCCTTTATTGTAAGTGCCCCTGTTTCATCTTCATAAAATACTCCTTCTCATATTCGTTTAATGCCCCTTTGCAGAAGCGATAAGTGCCCCCTTTTCACCTCTGATAGTTTCCCTTTTAACAAGGATACATACCCCTTTTCCTCTGTAATAAGGGACCTATCCCCTTTTCTTAAATGCCTCGTTTTACCTCTTGTAAATGGCCCTATAAAAATCTGATGGGTGGTCCTTTTCCGCCGATAAATACCCATATCCCATTCTCATAAGTGCCCTTTTTCATCCCTGGTGAGTGCCTCTTTTCAGGTGTAGGAGTGCACCATTTTTCACCTCTGATAACTACCCTTTGTACTTTGACATGTGCTCCTTTTCTTTTCTAATAAGTGTCTTATCCCTTTCTATTAGGGTCCCCTTTTCCTCTCATCATTAAATCTGCCCCTAATCTAAAGGGACTAAGAGCAATCTACTCCAAAGTTTGCTCGCTACGCTCGTTCGCATTTATAAATGATATATAATTATGTTACTTATCAAAGGTCTTTTCAGTCTTCCGTTTGTTTTGGGGGATTTTACAGACGTGTATCAATCAGATATGATTATTTACGTCATGAGAATGTGCTTATATTTTCATTATGAGAATGTGCTTATAAGCTCATCAGGGTCAGGTTTTTTGCTCTATATAAGATGTAATTCTCCTCACTGAGACCTCACAAA